AGTATGACTTTTTATAACTGTTTATTGTTGTTGCTGTTGTCCATTGTTGTCATCTTTCTTTGTTGAAATCAGGTCTCTCTTGTAAATGAGTCCTCGAGGCTCAATGGGATTTACCTGTCTAAATAAAGGTTGATTGATTGTCTGCCTGATCATCCAGTGTTTGTTCTTTCAGGATAGATGTGAGGTTCTTTTTGACTAGAAGTATTAGTCTTTCCCAGACTCCACCGTGGTGAGCTCCAAACGGAGGGTTAAAAGCCCATTTTATTCCCTCTGTTAAAAGGGTGCTTTGAATTTTCTGATGATTCAGTTCTCTTAGAGCTTCTTTTAATTCCTTTTGTGCTCCCACAAAGTTTGTCCCACAGTCTGTTCTGATGCTCATCACTGATCCTCTTCTGCAGATGAATCTGCGTATAGCATTTATGCATGAGTCTGTAGTTAGGAAATTTGCCATCTCCAGGTGAATAGCTCGACTCACCAGACAGGTAAATATGACCCCCCATCGTTTCACTTGAGCTCGTCCCCTCTTTACTTCAATGGGACCGAAGTAGTCGATGCCAACGTGGCTAAAAGGAGGTAGATCTGGAGACAAACGGTCCTCAGGAAGAGCTGACACTTTCTGTTCACCAGGTTTTGCCTGCATGCGTCTACAAAATACACAGCTTTTGATGATTTTCCTGGCTAGGGAATTTGCATAGGGGAGCCAGTATTTTTGACGTAGCCTGGAAAGCATGTGGCTTCTTCCTGAATGTCCAACCAGATTATGAATGTGTTGCAGGATGAGGTTAGATATATGAGAACCTTTAGGTAGAAGGATTGGGTTTTTCTGGTGGGTTGGCATTGCGCTTTTGTTTATTCTGCCACCAACTCTCAAGATGCCATTATCGAGAATTGGATCCAGTTTGAGGATGCTACTACTTGAACTGAGAGATTTTCCTTGTTCCAGGTAAGTAAATTCACAGTAAAAGTAGCGTTTTTGTTCAAAACAAATTATAGCCTTCTCTGCTTCCTGCATATCCTCCACTGACAGGTTCTGAGTTCCCTGTTTATCTTTCCTCACTTCTGAAGACAGGTGGGTTCGACCTTTTCTTTGTTGACTTAGCAGCAGGACTTTTTTTTTCAATTTTAGTATCCAGGCTACAGACTTCTGAAGTCGGTTCCATGATGAGTGATACTTGATTAGCCT